AGCAAAACATCCACGAAACAAAGAAAGGTCTGTCACAGCCAAAAAATACACTCCAGACACGCCGCTGGCACTAGATATATATATATATATATATAAGGGCAACCAATTCAATTACATATTGAATTTGAACAGGACGGCCTTCCAGACTCTTTTTATTGACATTATGGTATTACGGGGAACCCCGTGGGAACCAAGTTCGTGCTCAAGCCTGCAATGAGGGAACATGCGGGAGTTGCACCCACCAGCAAGTGCGATACCTTCTACAACAGGTGGGCGATACCGGCCAGGGGTCAGCCGGTGGCATCAGGACCGAGCTTCTTCGATGGGTCAATCACTCTGCATCCCTTCCAGTCCCACCCCTCTATGAACATTGGCAGTCTCCCCTCAATGCCACTCTGGGAACCAACGACACATCTCTACGTCTACGTGGTGGGTGGCAAACTTGCCGAGGAAAGTGCATGACGCGAATGGGGATTGAACAAGACCACTTGTGTGCCTTACCAACTGAGGGCATACTCACACTAGCACGTACTTCTGCAAATTTTACGTATGTGAATTTGCGTTCATATGGCATGTGCGGGTCACACTGCTCACTCGTTTTTTGCCCAAAGCAGAAAGGACAGGATCGCGATCTGACCTTGAGATGCAAAAATACTTTGTGTGCAGTCAGACAACACAATGCACTTTAATTTATTTTTTTTGCTTTCGGAAAGCAGTAGAGGGGAAAAAAATATGATTTTGCGGGGACCTGTGGAGGTCCCCACAAAATATGTAAGACCTCGGCTGTCCAGGTCGCTGACATTTACGTCCCCTTTTATGTGAACACACAAAATACATGCGTCTTGTGACCCGAAAAACTGCATAAAATTTGCAATTTTGTGAAAATACCTAGGCTACCATCCGGGCCGCCTGAATGCCTGTAGCCCAACGACGGCCCAAGGATTCACATCAAGGACCAAGGAAGGTCCCAAAAAAAAAAACCTAGGCTACCATAAAGGACCAAGGAAGGCCCCAAAAAAAAAAAAAAAAAAAAAAAAAATCAAGAAAAAACTATGTTATGCAGAAAAATAAATTGAACAACTTTTCCCTTCGGGTCACATCAAAATTTTTCATCAAATTTAGAATAAAATATAATATATTTTTTTAAATATATATATTTTTAAATATTTTATTATTTTTGGCCCGGACGAGCAAGTGACCCCGGGCCACTCTGGTAGTTTAGGAAAATACGTGGTAGTGTGAGTGTGCCCTGAGCTAGGTCACCGGAAACACAAAAATATGGTGTTGTATCTTTCCACGGCTCCATGTTCTTTGCGGAAGATTCGTTCTCATTTTGCACATTTGGTGAGTACTGGCGCCGACCCGGTATTATTTATTTCTGCCGGATGTAGCTAAGCGTCTGATCCCACAATACTTACGGTTAGTTAAAAACTGCGTTTTTGCGGATTCCACAGTATTCCGATTTCGTAGGAGGTCCTGGTAGCTTCGAAGGCGAGTGAAAACATTTGTAGTCGTGGCGAGCAGGGAATGAACGGCGCTGAAAAAGCTACAACAGAAAAATTCCCACGAGAAATAAAAGTTGAAAAAACATTCCATAAAAAAAAAATCCTTCATATTTATAAATTATCATTTCAATGTTTGTCAAATTCTAAAATTTCCAGTTTTATTTGATAAGTTTCCGTCTAAATATGAGTTTTCCCTTCCAACTACATCTATTTGTTCAAGATGGAATGAAAGTCTGGACGAGTTTATGAAATATTTTAATTAAATTTTCATTCTAGTACAACAAATACCTTCTAATTTAGATTGGATTAACCTATTTATGATTGACAATCCTTACTTAGAATGACAGTCCAATAAAAATATTTCATTAACTCATCCACACTTTCATTCCACCTCTAGGATGCAATCCAAATAAGAAGGGATACCCTATTCTTTGAATGAAAGTTTGCAACTAAGATGAAAAATTTTAAAATTGGAATGACATTTTTTAAGATGGAAATAAAATTTGAAATTTATATTGTAATTTTACTATAGAATGATTATTTAATTCTGGAAAAATTTTCCGCTGTGAAGGGAAAATGCAAGAGAGCGCGGCCGGTACCCTGCCGCGAAAAAGAAGGGGCACTTTTCTATTTTTTTTCGTGAAATTCGCAGCCCTTAGGCTGCGGTATAGTGGGCTTCGGCGTCTGTGTCAAGGTGTAGCATTTTTGGCTGCGGGCGACCAGGACGCAAAGTGGGTTCTTAGGGGGCAAAAAAAATTGGGGGACCGGTCCTTGCCAAAATTGCGGACTACCTACAACTAGCTCTGGTAGAACCGGGACTTTTGGAAAAATGAAGGACCGGTCCTCGAGTGGAATTGGACCCCTAAAAGAAGTGGGGATGGGGTAAGGGCCCTTAGGCCTAGGCGTTGAGGCCCGTCTTCTCAAAACAGGGACGTCATGCGCAACGAAACAAACGTTTTGCAAGAGGCAGCTTTGGAGATTTTCTGTGCTCGGAGGACTCGGAACCCGCAGAAAAATCTGAAATTTTGAGAATTCATATATGAGGTCGTGTTCTTTCTAGGAAAAATATTAGAACATTTTAAAAAAATAATTTAGACCGAGAAATAATTGTCGCGCCGATTCGGCACATTTTCCATTTTTGCCACTCAACCATGTGTGGGCCAACTTAAAAAGTACTCCAAATTCAGTGAGTTTTCACTCTCAGAAGAATGTGTGAAAATACCTGAAATTGGAGTACTCATAGATTTTGTTGTGATCTTTCCAGGAAAACGTTAAATAAAATTTAAAAAACCATTCCAACTGCGAAATAGATCGCGGCCGCAATTTGCCATTCAACCTCTCTCTCTCTCTCTCTCTCTCTCTCTCTCTCTCTCTGGTAGGCCCCCCGCCTCCCTCTCTCTCTATCTCTCTTTCTTTCTCTCTCTCTC